AGGTTGTTCTCATTTTCTATTTTTGTTTGAGTGTCTTTTCTTGAATCAGTCTGTGTGTTTTTCGAGTATGGATCATGGTGATTTTGAGATTTGTTGATGATTGTTGATGATTCTCGACTTTCTTAAACATGTACCATTTATCAAAACACGATGGGGCGATAAATATATGTTACCCACATCAAATAATGGTGGCGTGTTCGAAAACAAGACTTTCCGAAAATGTTGCTTACATTTTTCATACTTGCCCCTATTTACCCTTATTTTTCTCGACTTTCTGAGACGTGTACCTTTTTGCTTCAAAACACGAAGGGGCGATAAATATATGTTATCCAAATCAAATAATGGTGTCGTGTTCGAAAACAAGTCTTTCCGGAGACGTTGCCTACATTTTTCGTACTTGCCCCTATTTACAATTATTTTCCTCGCTCTTAAATGTGTAGCATTTTGCTTCAAAACACGATGGGGCGATAACTATAAGTTATCCACATCAAATAGTAGTGTCGTGTTCGAAAACAAGTCTTTCCAGAGACGTTGCTTTCATTTTTTTTACTTGCCTCTATTTACACTTATTTTTCTCGACTTTCTTAAACATGTACCATTTATCAAAACACGATGGGGCGATAAATATATGTTACCCACATCAAATAATGGTGGCGTGTTCGAAAACAAGACTTTCCGGAAACGTTGCCTACATTTTTCGTACTTGCCCCTATTTACCCGTATTTTCTTCGACTTTCTGAAACGTGTACCATTTTGCTTCAAAACACGAAGGGGCGATAAATGTATGTTATCAAAATCAAATAATGGTGTCGTGTTCGAAAACAAGTCTTTCCGGAGACGCGGCTTACATTTTTCATACTTGCCCCTGTTTACCATTATTTTCCTCGACTTTCTTAAACGTGTAGCATTTTGCTTTAAAACACGATGGGGCGATAAATATATGTTATCCACATAATATAATGTTGTCGTGTTCAAAAACAAGTCTTTCTGGAGATGTTGCTTACATTTTTCGTACTTGCCCATATTTACCTTTATTTTCCTCGACTTTCTTAAACGTGTACCATTTTGCTTCAAAACACGATGGGGTGAAAAATATATGTTATCCACATCAAATAATGGTGTCGTGTTCGAAAACAGGTCTTTCTGGAGACGTTGATTACATTTTTCGTACTTGCCCCTATTTACCCTTATTTTCCTCGACTTTCTTAAACATGTACCATTTTGCTTCAAAACACGATGGGGCGATAAATATATGTTACCCACATCAAATAATGTTGCCGTGTTCAAAAACAAGTCTTTCCGGAGACGTTGCCTATATTTTTCGTACTTGCCCCTATTTACCCTTATTTTCCTTGACTTTCTGAAATGTGTAGCATTTTGCTTCAAAACACGATGGGTGATAACTATAAGTTATCCACATCAAATAATGGTGTCGTGTTCGTAAACAAGTCTTTCCGGAGACGTTGCTTACATTTTTTGTACTTGCCTCTATTTACACTTATTTTTATCGACTTTCTTAAACATGTACCATTTATCAAAACACGATGGGGCAATAAATATATGTTACCCACATCAAATAATGGTGGCGTGTTCGAAAACAAGTCTTTTCGGAAACGTTGCTTACATTTTTCGTACTTGGCCCTATTTACCCTTATTTTTCTTGACTTTCTTAAATGTGTACCATTTTGCTTCAAAACACGATGGGGCGATAAATATATGTTATCCAAATCAAATAATGGTGTCGTGTTCGAAAACAAGTCCTTCTGGAGACGATGCTTACGTTTTTCATACTTGCCCCTGTTTACCCTTATTTTCCTCGACTTTCTTAAATGTGTAGCATTTTGATTTAAAACACGATGGGGGGATAAATATATGTTATCCACATAATATAATGTTGTCGTGTTCGAAAACAAGTCTTTCCGGAGACGTTGCTTACATTTTTCGTACTTGCCCATATTTACCCTTATTTTCCTTGACTTTGTTAAACGTGTACCATTTTGATTCAAAACACAATGGGGCGATAAATATATGTTACCCACATCAAATAATGGTGCCGTGTTCGAAAACAAGTCTTTCCAGAGATGTTGCTTACATTTTTCGTATTTGCCCCGATTTACCCTTATTTTCCTCGACTTTGTTAAAAGTGTACCATTTTGCTTCAAAACACGATGGGGCGATATATAGATGTTATCCACATCAAATAATGGGGTCGTGTTCGAAAACAAGTCTTTCCAGAGACGTTGCTTACATTTTTCGTACTTGCCCCTATTTACCCTTATTTTCCTCGACTTTCTTAAACGTGTCCATTTTGCTTCAAAACACGATGGAGCGATAAATATATGTTGTCCACTTCAAATAATGGTGTCGTGTTCGAAAATAAGTCTTTCCGGAGACGTTGCTTACATTCTTGTACTTGCCCCTATTTACCCTTATTTTTCTCGACTTTTTTAAACGTGTATCTTTTTGCTTCAAAACACGATGGGGCGATAAATATATGTTATCCATATCAAATGATGGTACTGTGTTCGAAAACAAGTCTTTCCGGAGACATTGCTTACATTTTTCGTACTTGCCCCTATATACCCTTATTTTCCTCGACTTTCTTAAGCGTGTACCATTTAGCTTCAAAACACGATGGGGCAATAAATATATGTTATCTACATCAAATAATGGTGTCGTGTTCGAAAACAAGTCTTTCCGGAGACGTTGCCTACATTTTTTGTACTTGCCCCTATTTACCCTTATTTTCCTCGACTTCCTAAAATGTGTAGCATTTTACTTCAAAACACGATGGTGCAATAACTATAAGTTATCCATATCAAATAATTGTGTCGTGTTCGAAAACAAGTCTTTCCGGAGACGTTGCTTTCATTTTTTGTACTTGCCTCTATTTATACTTATTTTTCTCGACTTTCTTAAACATGTACAATTTATCCAAACACGATGGGACAATAAATATATGTTACCCACATCAAATAATGGTGGCGTGTTCGAAAACAAGACTTTCCGGAAACATTGCTAAAATTTTTCGTACTTGCCCCTATTTACCCTTATTTTCCTCGACTTTCTGAAACGTGTACCATTTTGCTTCAAAACACGATGGGGCGATAAATTTATGTTATCCAAATCAAATAATGGTGTCGTGTTCGAAAACAAGTCTTTCTGGAGACGCTGCTTACGTTTTTCATACTTGCCCCTGTTTACCCTTATTTTCCTCGACTTTCTTAAACGTGTAGCATTTTCTTTAAAACATGATGGGGCGATAAATATATGTTATCCACATAATATAATGTTGTCGTGTTCGAAAACAAGTCTTTCCGGAGACGTTGCTTACATTTTTCGTACTTGCCTATATTTACCCTTATTTTCCTTGACTTTGTTAAACGTGTACCATTTTGTTCAAAACATGATGGGGCGATGAATATATGTTACCCACATCAAATAATGGTGCCGTGTTCGAAAATAAGTCTTTCCGGAGATGTTGCTTACATTTTTCGTACTTGCCCCTATTTACCCTTATTTTCCTTGACTTTCTTAAACGTGTACCATTTTGCTTCAAAACACGATGGAGCGATAAATATATGTTATCCACATCAAATAATGGTGCAAGTGTTCGATAACAAGTCTTTCCGGAGACGTTGCTTACATTTTTCGTACTTGCCCAAATTACCCTTATTTTCGTCGACTTTCTTAAATGTGTACCATTTTGCTTCAAAACACGATGGGGCGATAAATAGATGTTATCCACATCAAATAATGTTGCCATGTTCAAAAACAAGTCTTTCGAGAGACGTTGCTTATATTTTTTGTATTTACCCTTATATTCCTCGACTTTGTTAAACGTGTACCATTTTTCTTCAAAACACGATGGTGCGATAATTATATGTTGTCCACATCAAATAATGGTGCCGTGTTCGAAAACAAGTCTTTCCGGAGACGTTGCTTACATTTTCGTACTTGCCCCTATTTACCCTTATTTTCCTCGACTTTTTTAAACGTGTATCTTTTTGCTTCAAAACACAATGGGGCGATAAATATATGTTATCCATATCAAATGATGGTACCGGGTTCGAAAACAAGTCTTTCCGGAGGCATTGCTTACATTTTTTGTACTTGCCCCTATTTACCCTTATTTTCCTCGACTGTCTTAAACGTGTACCATTTAGCTTCAAAACACGATGGGGCGATAAATATATGTTATCCACATCAAATAATGGTGTTGTGTTCGAAAACAAGTCTTTCCGGAGACGTTGCCTACATTTTTCGTACTTGCCCCTATTTACCCTTATTTTCCTCGACTTCATAAAATGTGTAGCATTTTACTTCAAAACACGATGGGGCGATAACTATAAGTTATCCACATCAAATAATGGTGTTGTGTTCGAAAACAAGTCTTTCCGGAGACGTTTCTTTCATTTTTTGTACTTGTCTCTATTTACACTTATTTTTCTCGACTTTCTTAAACATGTACCATTTATCAAAAATCGATGGGGCGATAAATATATGTTACCCACATCAAATAATGGTGGCGTGTTCGAAAACAAGACTTTCCGAAAACATTGCTTACATTTTTCGTACTTGCCCCTGTAACATCCCGACTTTTTAATACTATCAGAGTACGCGTTTTTCGCAATTTTCTGAATAAATAAATAAAATATTTATTTTGCGAAAACTGATTCGGGATGCTACCGTGAAAAACTTGATTTTTCTGAAAACCGTTAAATCTTAAACTGATAAATAAAAATGGTTATAATGTCTTAACCGACTAACGTCGGACCAAAATCTGAAAATAAGTACTGATAGTTTTAGCGGAAATAACAACGTGGCAAAACATATATACATATATTTACAAATATCCTGAACTGCCCGCCAGCTCACTCCTCGTCCCCGACTCTCTGACCTGAAAAACATGAAATATGTGGGGGCGTGAGCACTAAGGCACTGTGCTCCGCAGAAACTCAAACTAAAGTAAAACAGTGAATATAATAACAATATCATGATCCTGACATATATAACTGAACTGAACTGAAACTGAAACTGATATCTGAAACTGAAACTGAAACTGAAACTGATATCTAATATCGGTCTGATCTCGCGACATAAGTCACGTAACTGATAACTGAACATCTGTCGGCAAAAACTAATGCCGGACACCATGTGCACACTCTAGTGGGCAGATTAAGGCCACTAGAACCCAAAATGGACCGGTGACCATTCCGAGCGGATACTGAACTGATAATACATACCTCAAA